CTTTTACTCTAGCGATTTCTGCCGCGGCTGTAGGGACGAAGAAGATAAGGAGACCATCGAGCACTACCTCTACCTCTGTCCAGCCTTGACATCCGCGCCACAAAAATTTCTTGGGAAACACTTCTTCGACTGTCTCGCTGAGTTGGCCTCAGTGAACATTGGAAATCTTGGCGCCTTTATAAGACACACAAAATGGTTCGATCATTTGAGAAGTTGAGAGTAGGAGCCTCAGCGGTATAGCAATGGACCTATTGGCCTAAGTATGCTGGGGTTTGACCAGCAGCCGCATCACCTCAACTCTCAACATAAGTTTTTCATTTAATGCTTTATGCAACCGCTCAATGTTACCAACACCGGTTTTACTAGTTGTTACTTCCATTGCTATATTAAATAAGTTACACCATTGCTTAATATTTACATTGTTTATACCTTGATCTTGGTCGATTTTTGAAGTCTTTGGAGGGCCCTTACTAATAAAGACTTTTAGCAAAGCCTTGTTCGTCTCCAACCAGCTTAATGCTTTTAATTTTTCTACCATAGCAAACTTAGGGAACAAATCAATACAAGTTAATAACTTCTACTATTCCGTTTCCAAAAATCTACAATAAATTTTCCCGAATTTCGTATATTGGAGGGGTAATTTTGGAATATGATCATTTTTACAAAGATTACATTCATTTATTATTTCAGTGATCTCTTTAAGATAATTACTGTAATTTAAAGGATTAGGCATACTTCTCAATACCTTCTTTAAGTCCACTGAAATGAATTTCGGCGAAGTGAATAGTATCTATACTAGACTCGGATTCTTCGTTGAAATTACACTCTCTAAATTTGATACGAGATAAAGCATCTGCCACGTGATTTTTTTTCTTAAAGTGGAAGTCGTATTCATTAAGTCGAATCTTTCCCTTAAATTATGGAGCCACTGCAGTGGTCTATGATCACTATTTATTAAAAGTTTCCTTCTGTATGAAATATTTTGTAGTCCATACCATAGCCAGAAGCTCTTTTCGGTAGCTGAGCTGTGCAACTCATTGAGCAAGCGACTAGCAAAGCAAATAGGATGTCCTTGTAGACTTAGAACTGCCCCCAATGCCACATTTGACGCATCAGTAGTCAACGTAAATGACTTCTCATAGTTCGCGTATGCTAGAATCGGGTCATTTGTAATCGAAATTTGTATAGTGGTGATGGCTTTTACGTACTTTTTATCTGCGCTATTTATTTTATTGCCATTTTAGGCAGTTAGTTAATGGTTTAGTAACTTCTGAAGAGTTTCGTAAAAATTTCCGATAAAGTCCAGCTAACCCGAGGAAATGTTTTATTTTCTTCTACGTTTTAAGAACAGGATAATTTAAAATTGCTTGCACCTTACCAGGATTACACTTTATGCCTGCTAGCATTATGACGTGGCTGAGAAGTTCCGTTTCCCTTTTGAAAAATTCACTTTTATTCTTCTGAATTTTCAGACTTGCATCATTTAGTCTACGAAATACTCCCTCTAGTGATTCTAAGTGTTTCTGTAGTTACGCACTAAAAACTACAATGTTGTCTAAATAAACCATGCAGTCTTTTCCTATTAACCTTTCCAAAACTGTGTTCATCAGCCTTTGGAAAGTGGTTGGTGCGTTTTTAAGGCCAAATGGCATGCTTAAAAATCCAAACTGTTCACTTTTTATTTTATGCGTGAAAGTGAGAAGGGGACACTTTTAATAAAAAATGTTTTTAAATTTAACCAAGAGCTTTTCTAACTTGTGTAATTCTGCAGAGTTTAAATGTTCAAGTCTAAGATCATTATCAGTAAAATCATTGTTTTGGTTTGAATCTAAAAAGTAATTATTGATATTACCACCCACGATATTAGTTTTAAGTAAATTGAGTACATCAAAGCCGAGTAGTCCGTCGTAATTATTAGAAAAGTTGAAAATGAAGAACGTTAACATTTGTATGTGTTCGTCCCTAAACACTTCCAGAACTTTGTTCAGTAACACTTCTCCTGCTGCTGTCGTCAATGTTATTGTGTAATATGCATGATCTTTTCGGTAAACATTCCGGGTTTTATCAAGCAAACAGACGAGCCTGTAGCAAATAAAAATTTAAAATGTTTTTATTAAGCGATCAGTTCAAATATTTTGATGTTTTTATTAATAAGTTAGGCTTAGCTGAACTGGTTTAATCAGCGCAAATAAAACTAATTCATCCACTTTTTAACCAACGTTTCGCTAAATATTTTGGCATCTTCAGGGGCTCCTGTTTATTTATTTTGAATAAAGAACACATGATAGTATATACATAGATGCATACTGAGTATTAAAAAAAGAGAACTTACTAATATTAAAAAGCTTGCAATTATATAATATGCAATGTCATTAGCATATGTATCATTGCCATAATGTTTGGTAGCTATATTGATACTAATTAATTACTTTTCCAAACATAACAAATATGCTGCTGCGATGTTGTCTGTATCTTCCTTTTTGTTTACTGTCTTGTTCCTCTTTTCCAAAATTCTTCGACTCTCTAATGTGTATCTCATGTTCTCTCTCTTTTCCCTGTCCAAAATCGTTCCGTTATCAAAGTCAGCTGAGTGACCACTGCTTATTATATGTTGTGAAAGCGCTGTACTATCATTGGTACTATTTTGTTTTCTTATGTCGGCTTCATGTTCTGCTAAACGCATTCCCACAGACCGTTTTGTTGTGCCTATGTATAATTTATCACAGTTCTCGTTGTTTTTCCCTTTGCATTTGATTTCGTACACAACGTTGTTTTGTTCTTGTGTGTTAATTGGTGTTTTTGTTCTTGTGAATATTTGTGCGAGCGATTGATTTGCTTTGAACGCCAATATGATATAATATTTTGTTCTTCCTTGGTTTCATTTCTTAATTTCTCACTGAGTTTTGGTATGTATGTGACGCTGCAATATTTGTTGGGTATGTTTGCTGTATCTAGTTTTGATGTTTTGTTATTATTATTGCGTTGTCTTAATGTTGTCTGCTGTATTAATTAGCTTCTCAGGGTAGTTGTTGTTTTTGAGCATAATATAATATATATTTTTTCTTTGTTGACATCATGAAATTTTTAATGGCTTATGGTCAATATTTTGTTTGTTGGTTGGGAGGAAAGAAAATTGATTAGGCCTCCAGAAGATGTGGGTTTGGAGTACCGATCAAGAATGATTTTGTTGTTGTCTCTATATATTTTTGTGTCTAAAAATGAAATATTTTTGTTTTTTCCCTCTTCCATCGTGAACTGGAGTTTCTTATGATACTTGTTAAGAGAGTCAAGTATTGTTTTAGCGTCTTTGTATTTTATAAAAATATTATAAAATTAAGAAATGAAACCAAGGAAGAACAAAATATCATATAGTTGATGGTGGGAAGTCCTCTGAGGCTTTTAAGAAAAAATTTGATAGACCCTGTTCCATTGGTTCAGGATAACCAAAACTCCTGATTCGAGACTGATTTGAACCTTGATTACTTCTTTGTTAAATTTCTGTTAGATTAAATGTTAGTAGAATTGAAAGAAATATGTTCACTTGTGATTAAATTCAAATTTTATGCCGCAAATTGTCTTGGCGATAGCTTTATTCATTCGAATGATTAAAGTATGGTTCGTTTCTTAAATAATTATTATAACTGGAATAGATTGGAAATGGATAAATATTAGTTGCAAAATTTTCTACATTACTATTATTTCTATTCACAAAATGTGGTCGATTTAGACTTAAGTAATTTTTTTGAATTGACTTATTCTCATATAGCTTTTTACCATCTTCAAATACATTATTTTCTTTCATATTTATATTGCTGTCTTAAAATCAGTAGCAAGGTTAGCATTTACTTATGCTGATAAAAAATTTGGCAATTCCAGTTTTAGTGTTTTAAGCCTTATTTGATTATAAAAATGCCTTATTGGATTACTTTCATCTTTTAATAGCATCTTTAACCATACAAACTTCGGTATTTATTTCCTCACACAATATTCTTACGCTATTTTCAAATTTGACATTACTTATTTCTAAAACTAGAGTTGAAACTGGTATGTGTTCTCCAAATTCATCGATAAGCAACTGTCTTAACGTTGTCCAATCTGTTTGTTGTTCTCGCGTTTCTGTTTCTGTAGTGTTAATTGATTAAATTTTCCACTCTCAATTAGAATATAAGTTTTCGCACGGGTTTTGAAGCCAAAGTACTTATTCCTTTTATTTTATTTTTATTATTTTTTAATTAATTTTATTTCAACTCAATTTTAATTATGTAGATTAGTTATTAGATCTTTTGCATAGATCCTACCGACAGCGCAAGAAAAATTTTAAACAATTAATTTAATTTTTACTATAAATTTTTTGTTTTATTTTAGCACAAGGGCATAATTCAACAACTGTGTATTTTGTCTGATGAGCTACTACTAAAAACTAGTCTCTCCGACATTGATGGAGAGCTTATAAAAGTCAAAGTATTTAGTTTAACATTAGGGTATGCCACTCACATGTGTACATAAACTTTTCTAGTTAAACCTACATTATTTTTTTTTTCCTAGTAAAAGCTCAACAAATAGGTAAAAATAATTCATATATTGAATATCGCAGCACATAACCTTTTCTGTTTTGTCAATAGTTTTCTTTCTTCGACCTTTTACATTTTATTTTATTTTATTTTTTTTTTGTTTTACCAAGCCTCGCCTTTTCAGGATCTTTATTCTCTGTTTTATTGACAATCCGTTATTAATGAAAGATGTACATTCTGTATAAAGTACATTCTGTATAAAGTATAATCTTCAAAAGTTTCCTTCCAATAATATCCGCTTCGCCAAATTCGTATGCCAACTTGCACTCAGCTAACATGATGATGAGTCGGTATTTTTTTAACAAAATATTAGCAATATTTTTTTTTAACCTACAATAATCATATTTAGTGTTTTTCTGAACGTTATGGATTGCTTTTTTTTTTTTGTAAGCCTCGGTGGGTAAACATATTTATTTCATTTACTTTCAGTACTGTGAAAAACAAGTATGAGGTGCATCTGCAACTAAAGCGTTGTTTGGAAGGCCCACAAGATATCGAACTGGATCTGAGTATGACGGTTTTCACAAATGGCGTGCCACGTGGCAAGAGCATTGCAAAAATATTTATTTTAGTCTCACAGTACTCATTCTAGAAAGTGTTTTTGAAAATGGAATGTAAACAAGAATTAAAAGTATTTGTTATATATGTACCTACTTAGATGAAGAGTAACTTAATAAATCGTGAGTTTCCTGAATGATAATTCGTTGTTTTTGTAAAAAAAAAATATTCTCAGAGATCTTAATATTCCCTATTATGGCGCGGTCACAACTAAAAAAAAGATTTTTAAGGACTCGAACATCGGCTCGATGTCGTTGGACCGATGATATTTTGTACTAAAAGTGATAGCGGAAGAAGTGATAATCACTTAACTCCGTAGCATTTAAGTGCATTTCAAAAAAGAACAACAGCAAATAGAAAATACGATATATTCTACAATGCAAATTCAAATCTAGCAGCTGAAAATCAAAAAAGTGTATATAGTTCTGCTACTGTAGAAGCCAGCCCCTGCACAAATTTGATTTCGTCGGTTTCGTTGCTGCACCCCTGTGTGAATGGCCAGTTGTCATAAATTTGTTGATAAATTTTTTTAACAATATTTGCATTAATTTATTATATTTCTACCGAGTTTGGGAGCCTGACAAAAAATAATCAAAATTAAAATATAAAGTCTATTTCTCTACATAAAACTAACAAACCCATCGGCATCGAAACCCAACCACCAAAATGACACCGCTAAATTAAACCTTGACATCACCGCCGTCCAAGAAGTGCGAAGGACGGGACAAGGAACGAGGCGAGTAGGCCCTTGTGACATTTACTATAGCGTCCATATCAAGGATTGCAATTTTTACAGTGGAATTCGTGGAGAAAGAGAGACTCCGTCGCCGGGTACTGCCATTCACCCAGGTGGATGAACGTCCCGTCAAAGTCCGCATTAAAGCCAAATTCCTTGGCATTGTCCAAAGATGCCTTTTATGAGCGCTGCTTGTTGAAGCTGATCGACTTCGGCTGAGCCCAAAATAGGCTGGTTTGTAGTACTAGATTCCACAGCATTAATACATCTATCAACTTGACTATCCCGTAATTGAAAAACTCAAAACCAGATCGATCATTTCAGACACACCGCAGAGCGGTTTTCTACTCGGCTTGCACACCTGCTATCTGAGAGCACTCATCAGCAACTCGGTGTACGAGACTGGTAGGGCGACACTTGAAACTCCCTATGTGCAGCTGCAAACGAAACTATTGTATTTCGTAAAGGTCGCATAAACAGCAGGTACGTCGAGGTCTGCCCTGCCGCAGTTGAGAGAAAAAAAACTACCTACCTCGCAACGTTGCAATCGACACCATCCCGTGACGCGATGTGATTGATATCGATAGCTGAAAGAAGAAGCAAGATGCATTTACAAAATTGTTTATATTTATATAATTGGCGCTTTGTAACGCTGAAGCGCTTTCTCGGGCGAGCTCCTGCTCCAATTTGTGGTTTTGCGTCCTGATATTTTTTATATAAATATTTTTCCAACAAATTTTATACTAAGCGACCTCCAAACGGCTCATGGTTTTTTATGAGTGGCTTTATTTCATGTCCGAAATACACTCTGAAGGGTGGAAATTTCCTGCCGAGGGAAGACCGCAATTAGAAATTTTATCTTAATTTTTATCTAAATTTATTTTTAATACCTTTTGGATGTTGGTGGCACTGGGATTAGAGCCCGAGCCTTCCTTATGTCAGCACACAATGCGAGTCCCTCGACTACCGCTGTCGCCGCAAGATGCANTAAAATCCAGCACAGACTCACTTCTGCTAACCGGTGCTACTTTGGACTGAGTAGGCACAGCGGCTACGCTTTCTAGATTAAGTGCTCTGGATGTATAAGAATACTCCAGCTTTGAAAGTTCTCGAGGCCAGGTAGAGAAGGATCTGGCTGTACTTGGTATTTCCAATTGGCAAAGCAGGGAAAAGTAGAAAGGAATGGTGCAATGTTGTTAACTGGGCTTTAACCGTGTAAGCGGTGTCTACGCCAGTAAAGAGCAGGGTGATTAGCGTTAATGGTCCTACTACTGTAGCAGTCAGCCATAAAAATATTCGGTTTCGTCGATTTGATTGCGGTGATTTTGATATAAAAGCCGCACCCCGGTGTGAAAGACCAATTGTCGAAAATGTTAAGAAAATTGTATTATTATTAAATTTTCTTCGACATTGGTGGCCTCACATTAAGTAGTCAAAACTAAGAATTAAATAATGACAGCTCAATAGCTAGGAGTGCACTACTAGCTAAGTGTTATATTTTTATAAGGATGGTAAGTTCCTCTTCCCTTCTTAGGCGCGTTGTACTTGTTGCTCTTTAATTAATTAATCATTTACCTTTACAGCAAATCGTCTGTAAAGTAGTAGCAACAGCAGAAACAGGAACAGCTATGCAGACAAGCAACAGCAGCAACTCCAATGCAGGCGACGTACATAGAACAAGGTTAGTTAGCCAAAATTAAAAATGGTCTTACACGGTCTTAACACTTTTTTCTTTTCTGCTTATTTTTCCATATTTTGTTTTTTATATTTAATGTACATATGTATAATCCTAATATCATTTCATTAAAAGAAATCTACATTCTATATGAACAACATCAAGTGCTTTCAGCATATCGTTTAACTCTAATTGGATACATTGGTTTTTACTCATGACTCTTCAATCCCACAATTTACTGATTATAGCTAAATATTCAAGCGATTATATGCCCCATTTATCTGCGGTCACGCCCAATGCAAACTTCAGAATTTGTACAAATCTGCGCAAATCGAGATCAGTGATTAAGACGCTACCTGAAATAAAAAAGTAAAATAAATAATTACTATTCAAATAAAACAAACATTGTACAGTATAATTTCAACAATTACTTTTATAGCACTCAATAAGTAAAATAAGCGCCCAACCCGCTTCCCATTTGTAACTTGAATTATTAAGACCCGAATAGAATGCCATCAGCCTCATCATTACGATTTAAAAGTTCCAAACGATTTTCTGTGTTATTGGAGTGTTTATGTTGTACTTTTGAATCTAATATATTATATAATACCATTCAAATATCTGTTTCGTTGAGCACATGGAGCAAGTTATTCCATCCCGAAAACCAGCCTCTTCGTCTTCTATTGTCATTCGATTTGCTCCTTGGTGTATCTTTGAGTTCGATGAATATATAAAAAATCGTAGAAAATAATGATAAATATAAATAAATAAAATATTATGTCAAATTACTTACTCATACTTGTAGCTGCAAAAATTCGAGTATTTACGATCGTACATAAAGGTGACACGACATGGTAAACGATTGATATAGATTTGAAATTTTTAACTTTTTTAACAAATAATGCAGGTAATACGCCTATTTGACCCTTTTGAATAACGCAAGCTGAGGAAATAACATACCTCTGATCCACTTTAACAGGCGCTGAGGCTAGAGATGACACATTGCTTCTAAAAATCTGCAGCTTAAACTCAATTCTGCGAAATATTGGGTTGCCCAAAAAGTAATTGCGGATTTTTTAAAAGAAAGTAAATGCATTTTTAATAAAACTTAGAATGAACTTTAATCAAATATAGAATTGCCATTTTGTTCGATAACCTTTTGCCATCTTCCTGGCAAATTTAGTATTCCACGCTCATAGAACTTCTGGCGTTTATCTGCAAAAAACTGAACCAAGTGCGATTTTATAGCCTCATCCTTGCCGAAAGTTTTACCATTTAAGGAGTGCTGCAAATATCGAAATAAATGGTAGTCTGATGGTGCAAGGTCAGGGCTATATGGTGGATGCACCAAAAGTTCCCAGCCAAGCTCACTCAGTTTTTGGCGAGTGACCAAAGATGTGTGCGGTCTAGCGTTGTCCTGGTGGAATATGACACCTTTACGATTGACCGATTCTGGTCGCTTCTCCTTGATGGCTGTATTCAATTTGTCCAATTGTTGACATAAAATATCCGAATTAATCGTTTGGTTCCTTGGAAGCAGCTCAAAATATACCACACCCTTTCAATTCCAACAAAATACAGATGGCATAATCTTCTTTTGTTGAATATCAGCCTTTGAAGTGGTTGGAGCTGGTTCACCTTGCTTGGACCATGATCGTTTTCGACTAACGTTGTTGTAAACAATCCATTTTTCATCTCCAGTTATGATTCGTTTTAAAAACGGATCGAATTCATTGCGTTTAAGGTGCATATCACAAGCGTTGATTCGGTGTGTTAAATGAATTTCTTTCAATACATGTGGTACCCAAATATCAAGCTTTTTCACCAGTCCAAGACTTTCTATGTGATAATAAACGGTTGATTTTGGTATATTTAACTTCTCTCCTATCTCGCGCTCAGTTACATGACGATCCAATACGATTAATGCTTTGATTTGGTCATCATCAACTTCATTTGGCCGACCTGAACGTGGCTCATCTTTAAGTGAAAAATCTCCAGAACGGAATTTGCGGAACCAATTTTGACACTGTCTTCCTTTTAAGGCTCCATCACCATACTCATCTCGTAACTTTTTAGCAACCTGCTCCGCGTTTTTTTCCTTTACGGAAATAATAAAGTAAAATATGACGAAAATGCTCCTTTGTGGGCTCCATATTAAAATTGACGCCAAACAAACAAATGTAAACAAAATTTTGCGCACTATTTTTCTAAAGCAAGCTGATAACTGACAGAAGAAAGAATGCAATTACAGAGTCACAAGCCGTTGAAAAAATCTGTCAACGCCTATATGAAAAATCCGCAATTACTTTTTGGACAACCCATACATTTTCTTTTAAACAAGAAGTATAGACTTAAATCCAAAGTCCTGTTATATAATGTTACAATAAAGTCGATATGGATGTATGGAATCCAGTTATGGGGCACAGCTTGCACGACAAATATAGATATAATTCAGCGGTTGCAATTGAAAACGTTAATAGAAATAACGGGCGCACCATAGTACAAGCGTAATGAAATTATCAACAGGGATCTAAACATACCTCCTCAATCCTCAAGGAAGATATTGAAAGCGCAGCAAAAAAATTCTTAACAAAACTGCGTACAAATCCGAACCCTTTGGCTTACACCTTGGCGCATGCAACAAGTAAGAGACAAAGCAGCTTTCTAAAAGGAAACCTCAAGCCAGCATCCAATTCCTACTAATGTGTTATATGTTTAAATTTAGTTTAATATTTTATTACCTAATTTCAGGCTTCCGATGTCAGATGAGCAGATTCAATAAATAAATATTAATGTTAAAAAAATAAATGATTAGTAGGCATCAGAGATAGTACGGAATGTGTTAAGTAACGTCTCGGAGGAGAGATCCCCCTTACGAGAAGTTCGCTGGACGGGAGAAGGGCGGAAACGAGTAGGTGCTTGTGACAATTACTACGGCGGCCAAATAAAGAAGCGCAAATTTGGTACCGGATTTGCGGAGGGAGAGAGACTCCGTTGTCGAGTACTGGTATTCACCCCTCGCATCAATCCGCATCAAAGCGAAATTTTTCAGCAAATCGTTGGCTCGCGCCCATGCTGCTATGGAAGAGAAAGACGTTTTGGTCAAAGATGTTTCCTATGAGCGCCTAGAGCATACTTACGAGCGCCGCCCCCGACACGATGTGAAAATCAAGCTTGTTGATTTTAATGCCAAGGTGGAAAATAAGGTATATTTGGTTCGACTATTGAAAAATTAGCCTTCCCAACGAAACATCCCCTAATGAGCTGAAGCTGAGCGACTTCGCCGGCACTCGAAATATGGCTGTCAGTCGTACTAGATTCCAGCACAAAAAAAATAGCTCAAGCTACTTGGCTATCCACTGATCAAAAATCACAAAACCAGATCAATTAAGTTGCAATATATAGAAGACATATCTACAGTGTATTTGAAGTGAGTACGCTCCGAGGTCCCAAAATGTTGAAACAGGTGGATGACATGTCTATAGTGTTCTTGACGTGCATACACTCCGAGGACTTAACATTGACTCTGTAGAACTGTATCATATAAACGAAAGCAATATAGCTAGCAACACATATTTTCGTATTTTCTTCACTACTCTCATGTTCTTGTTTTAATCACAAGAAAGTCCGATTGAGCATTAATACGAGTAGTAGCTTCTCCACTTGTGTTTCTTGTTTTATATAAAAAAAAAAGCTCATCGCTAAACTGAACGTTTATTAGTTCTTTTGGTGTCGATAAAAAACTTTACATTTGGCGACGCGGAGGACAACACAAACGAGCTCAGTTAGATTGGCATAAAATATTTGGAGCTGTTACAGAAACTGTTTGAGGGCAAAGTAAGAGAAAAAACGTTCAAAGAAATCACTTCAACGTTAACATTTTGAGGAAAAAAAATTTAAATCGCACTATAATGAAACCTAACGAGCCATAAATGATGGGAAAGCTGAGTCTTATGCCGACCATAAAATTCGTGACAAGTTCGTAATTCACACTTCTCACGAAAAGGTACGGCAGTCTTACAAAAATTGAATCCGAGCTTAGAAGGGGTATTACAAATAGCCACAATGTACGAATCAAGAATGCGAACGTGCACAGAGATCCAAGAAGCCGAAATAGCCCACAATGGTCTATCCCACATAGCCGTGAAAAGTGCTATCATTACAGAAACAAAACCAAATGCAATATATGTGCCGAGCCGGAATGCATTGCTTCAGTATACCAAGCAAAAACAAGAAACCAACACAAAAGCAGCCAGATTTTGAAGGCATAGGCAATCTACAAATCATACATTCTAAACAAACAGCAAACGACAAAACAATGCTTCATATAAGTATCAGGGTTAACGGCGTTGCTGAAGTTAGCGTTAAGTGCTGCACCTTTGACATTGCTTGTGGCAGACTGTGGGATGGGACCATCTATCTACTTAGCTATCCCGTGATCGAAAAACTCAAAACCAGATCGATCATGTCAGACAGACCGCAGAGCGGTGTTCTACTCGGCTTGCATACCTGCTTTCTGAGAGCACTCATCAGCAACTCGGTGTACGAGACTGGTAGGACGACACTTCAAACTCCCTATGTGCAGCTTCAACCGAAACTATTGTATTTCGTAAAGGTCGCATAAACAGCAGATACGTCGAGGTCTTCTCGCCGCAGTTGAGAGAAAAAAACTACCTACCTCGCAACGTTGCGATCGACCACATCCCGTGACGACCTCCAAACGGCTCATGGTTTTTTTATGAGTGGCTTTATTTCATGTCCGAAATACACTCTGAAGGGTGGAAATTTCCTGCCGAGGGAAGACCGCAATTAGAAATTTTATCTTAATTTTTATCTAAATTTAATTTCAATACCTTTTGGATGTTGGTGGCACTGGGATTAGAGCCCGAGCCTTCCTTATGTCAGCACACAATGCGAGTCCCTCGACTACCGCTGTCGCCGCAAGATGCATTTGCAAGGGAAAAAAGAAAGAGTCCGAAATGCATGAGTTTATGGACCTTGAGAGGCTGGCCGACAAGGGTACTGCTTGAAAACTCAACTTGAAAATACGGCAACTTACAAAAGTTTCCGAGACCGTAACAGACTCTTATAGGACACAGAGAGGTGATCTAGTAACAGATGCTCCGAGTATGGCTGAGCTATTCAAATACGGCGGTGAAGAATTGATCAGGTGCGTGCATCAGCTTCTTTGAAAAATATGGTAAGTGGGCACTACGCAAACCACTAAAAAGACGATCAAACAGTCTCCGCCAATTACCGAAGGATAGGCCTCCTTAATACCGCACAAAAGGTCTTATCAAGCGTGAAAGAATAAATCCCACAGTCAATAATCTGATTGGACCTTATTAGTGTAGCTTTAGACCTGGTAAATCTACATTGACCCGATATTCGTCATGCGCTAATTCCTGGAAAAGCCCCTTGTATAGAAGATCAACACACACCGCCCATTCGTCGATTTTAAAACAGCCTTGAACAGCACGAAAAGGAGCAGCCTGTATGCCGCTATGTTTGAATTTGGTATTTCCGAAAAACTCATACGGCTATGTGAACTGCACTTAAAGCTCTGTCAAGATCAGGAGGGACCTCTCCGAGTCGTTTGATGCCATAAGAGGACCTCAACAACCGCGCAGTGAATTCTGCTTTCTCCAGACTGGCTTAGGTATCGACGGCTAGGGGTTTGGTAGTGAACGTATCCACGAAATATCTCTCGGCACCACGTCACTGTTGACAGTAATAACTTCTAGGTCGTTGATAATTTCGTTTATCTAGGGCCCAGTATCAACACCAATAATAATATCAGCTTTAAAATCCAGCACAGACTCACTTCCGCTAACCGGTGCTACTTTGGACTGAGTAGGCAATTGAAAAATAAAGTCCTCTCTTGACGAACGAAAACCAAACTCATCCTACCCTTCCTGCTATACGGTGCGGAAGCATGGACGATAACAACATCTGATGAGATTCTCGTATAGAGTTTTCGTTTTATGGTTATTTGCTCATTGGTTGCGAATACCGTAAAGACACAGCGGCTACGCTTTCTAGATTAAGTGCTCTGGATGTATAA